ATTTAAGTGCAACAGCCCTGTAACTAGGTTTCAGTCCTCCCGCAAACAGCAGTGCATTACTGGACTTTTAATACAATCATGGTGTTGACAGCTACACTTCTCCAGACAGTCTTGATTCATTCAGCATACACAACTGAATAAAAGGAGATGTGAATTCATGCACTGACTGGCACCAAATAACCAAGAAAATGAATGTGTGTGTTTCTGTTTAAATGACCCTTTGTCTACTTTATCAAGGCTAGCACACAAACCAGAAAAAAAAAGGAAATTCAGAGACTGTCTTAAGATCACCAGTTTCATGAAAAGCTGATTATCTCTCAAATCCTTGTGAGACAGACAGAACAAACTCAATTTATCAAGTGGCAGCTGCATTCATGAGTTCATGAGTTTACAGAGAACAGAGCAGATCACCAGAGTTGCGAGAACTCTGATGGCAGACTGCAGGATGATAGCTCAGTATGACATGAATATATTGGGTTTTTTTAATTGGCAACAGCCACAGGTGACCTCTTGTCATCTCTGTCACACTTAGTCTGAGTCTAAGATATTGTATGTGGCAGACATGTTGCCTCTTTTACCACCATAACAAAGACACATTTTGTCAAACTTCTGCTTTCCTCTGAAGTTTTGTTAATAAAATGCGATTAGGTACAAAAAAAACTTTAAAAGAAAAGTACAACATGTGTGCAAACACAATTATTTACATTTTTGTGTGTGGATTAAATCAAGCAGCAACCTCCGTTGTTGACAAATGAAGCCAACATGGAAGTGTCAAAAACTGCTTTCCTCAAATGGCCACTTGAGGCTGACTCCAACAGCGAGTCAATCCCCATCAACCCCCCATGCATTCATTCATCTGAAATAAACATGTTTACAGTCTGGTACAAAAAACAGTTTAGGTCTCTATAGCTTATATTCCTATTCATGAAAAGGGGGATTTTTATACAACTCATCTGTTTAAAGTACATTAAGGCTTAAATGTATGCATAATGAAGGGCATGGCTGCTTTGAGTGACAGGTGGGTGGTCTCAAGTCGTTCGCCACTAGATGTTTCCTCTGCTGCAACACCCACATAGACCCACATAAACTGTAGCGATAGCCGGAGCCATGAGCTTCACATCGGCTCTTCAGAAATCTTTCAGGCGAAGTCACGATGACTATGTCCATATTAAACACAGTCTATGGACTAAACGAGATGTGTGAATTAGTGACCTTTAGAGATGCTGGTAGGCCAGGGGCAGGCTACCTGTTTCCTTCTGTATTCAGTCTTTATGCTAAGCTAACTGGCTGTTGGAGGTAGCTTCATAGTTATCTTACACACACAAGAGCAGTATCAAGTGTCAAACTTTTCTATTAACTTCACTTCAGTGTCTATTTATAGAATGAAATCACACCATCTTAACTCAGCAACAGAGCAATTTGAGCTGCCCGCTTGTTTGACTAGTCACTTCCACAGCACAAACAAACCAACCCTTAATGAAACCCAAAATCTATTGGACCAAAGAATACACAAGCTGCCCCACTAAAGATTGTTATGTCTAAATAGCTAGTAGATGTTTTTTGTTATTTGCAAATGTTCTCTCAGTCAGCAGCAGGTTTGCCAAACAAGCTGCCGGTGAGTCAATGCGACCATTTCTCTCCCAACTCCCAACATGTCAGTTTCTGCACAGCCAGCTTCATGTTGCCCAGCAGGATGTTGATAGCTAACTGACCAAATCCCACCATGATGGTAACAAGCTCTGATCTTGACAAAATTACTAGCATCAATTGACGGACACATTTTTACATTTTAACGTTTATCTCCCTCAGCAGAGCTGTCTGTAGCCTGGAGCAACAACAAACACGCAGACACACCTAGTGTCTCACACAATCATCATCAGCATTTTATCAAACTGACTCACCTTTTGAGGTTATTAGTAGGATCATTCTATCAGACATACTGAAGTTTTATTTTCATATAAGGGGTGAGAAGTGTGGTTTCTGACCCCACTAGGCACCGTACATACTGCAAGCTAATGATTGACATGTACAGCTGCAAAGAACGTACCATGATATCATAAATCATTTAAAATGTAAAGGTGTGCGTGATCACGTTCTATCTACTGTTACTGCACAAATGACACTTTGGTTTGCATTGGGAAAAATACAAGCAGAGCCTGTGACAGGACTGTTGGAAATGAATGTTGATCAAATTACTTTCAGGATTTTATTTGGTCTGCTTGAGAGGTTAAACTTGTTTGCATTTAGTCCGGCAGAAAGGAACTATAGCAACAAAAAGAAACCTGAACCCAGAGGTGAAAAAGCCCTGCTTCCTTTTCAGTGTCACCTCAAGTGTGTTTGTGTATGTGTGTGGCTGGAAGGGCTGGACATTAATGAGTACATCTGGAGGACACTGAACAATTTCCAAGAGCAGTTGCCTTCATTTCCTCCTGCCTACAGGAAAAACAAGTGAAAGTAAATGAAGCCTTGTGTGAATTCCATCACATTAAAACTGATCGTCCTCTCAAACACTATGTGCCTGTCTTTCTGTATGCCCGTCTTTGTGCGTGGGTGTATTGGTGTCAGTGCGGGTAATGACTGTCGTGGTCGTGTCTGAGTCAGACAATAGTTACATCTAGGAAAAGACTGCTATCAAACTAAGCCAACTAGTTAAAGCAATGATCACACCGACTTTTATTTCCTAAATACTGCAGGAAATGTGGAAGTTTATACTGCAGCTATATTTCAGTCTCAAACCTGGAGCTTAAATGTCAAACAGCTGCTGATGGCTGAGCCCGGGGAGGAACACTTCACAAGCTGCCTCAAACTGGCAAACAGGAGGAGGGAGAGCTGCTCTCCAGCAAACACACGGTGGTAAGCTCCAAAACAGAGTTCAAGCTCCTCAGTCAGCCTCTCTCTGTTCAGCGTATGAACCCTCTCTATTGACATGCTAATGCTGGATCTGCCGGCTGAACCGCTTGAATAAAGTGAACACCATCTCCGAAGGTTTTTCAGAGACCTCGGCTTTGGGAGCGAGCCTCAAGGGTTGTCAAAAATTCATTAATGACCGTGGGTTAAGATTTTAGCAGAGTGGTTTCTTACACTGCAACAAAGGAAGTAAATTCTATATTATAACACTTGCAGGCAGTATATTTAAGAGAACAATATTTCACCTTAGCCAAAGTACTGGCAGCATTCTTCTTTGTTGCTGAAACCAAGTGATTTTTGTTTTTTTATTAGACCTCATACATAATAAAGAAACCCTGCGATCTTGTTATGGACCAATCAATGACACACTGATGATTTGGCCCCTTCTGCCATGTACACATTAACCATAAAGCAATAACTCAGTAAGACAGGTGCAATTTCCAATCTGAATTTCATTACGCTTCGCTCACTGCCGGCTTCGATTCATAACATTGCCATTGATGTGAGGTTGTGGATGTCGGGAGCAGAGCCCTCCGTGTCTGTAGGCAGTGCAACACACCAGCTGTGAATGAGAAACAAGCAGCATTCTCCATAAATTAACATTCACTTCGTACCCCCACAGTTCAAGGGCCCCGTTTAATGCAAAGAGGCAGCACACAGGGCCCGGCTCTATGAAACAAGAGTAATTCTCCCATGGCTCAGTGAGATCTAAGATGAATAATTGATGTCTGAATTACCAAAGAAATGGCCTGGAGTAAAGTCGAGAGCAGCAGAATAAGATATTGGCAGAAACAAGACATGCAATTTTCTGAATGACCGGCACATGCCAAGAGACAAAACTAAGGTTATAGAGGCACAGAAAGTCTATTTGGTAGGACTAGCAGCTGAATCACAACAATCAACACAAAGACGGCTCACACATCCAAAGGTCTGGACTTGTACAAGACTCGGGGGATGATCAGCTGAAGCCCCTGAGGCGTAACATTAGTAAAACCACTGAGAGTGAGAGTGCCAGTAATGGGTCCAGGGCCTTGAAACTGAACCCCAGCTCCACTTAGGGAACTGTCTGCCCATAACCAGTCTACTCTGCTTGTATGTAAAGTATGCCTCCGTCATTTTTACACCACACAGCAGAATAAACTGTCACTTTATGTATTAAGAGGTTGTTTATTTGGGTGGCCTGTATTTCATAGGTTGCTCCCTACAAATACATTATTTATCATCTTGTTTCTTCACATAGCTTAAATATTTTTAAATAATCAACACAGTCATCATCATAGACTGACTGTAACCAATACAGTCAAGTTGACCGCATCTCACTGTATCCAGTTTCATCATTCACTAATGAGACTCTTTTACAACCAAATCATATCGCTAAACCATCAGTTTATAATCTGGTTTGAGATAATTAGGATTCTAAAATAGTAAGTAAAATCATACCAAAGGTGAAGTTACTTTAGAGTATGGAAAAGGATTTTTTAAAAAGATTACATTAAGCCACAGAGTGTCAAACAGACTATGAATCAAAGGCACCTTGACATTATAAGACACTGAATGTGTACAAGGAATATGTATTGAATGCATTGATCAACATCTTGAATGCATTGATCAACATATCTCCCCACACCAGCCACAGTAAACCAAACACAGGCCCCAAAATGTGAAAGAATGAGGTGCAATAATATAAGCCAGTCCTGTATCCTGCACTGATTTCAACACAGGGATCATTTTACCCAGCAATCAAGCTGCACAACCACGATCCTAACCACATTATGACGAATCATAATTCAGCACACAGAAACCCTTCTGGGTGTTGATGAATTAATCTAAGAAACCTTTGCACACGAGAGAGAGGAAAATAAAACCGTGGTTCTCCCTCTGATGCTCTGTCATTGGATTGACTGTCACGGTTTACCTGCCATGAAGGGGGGGGGGGGGCTGTCACTGCTCTCTGTTTGAACACCATATGCAGTCAAATCTAAATCGGAAGATTGCACTAACCTATGACACACGAATAAAAAGAAAAGCACAAACATGGAGGAGGATAAACAGGCTCTTGTTGAGCGGACACAGACATCACATTCACACCGCACCTTTCACTTGGGTCTCATAGTCCGCTATGATCTCCTTATCCTTCTTGACTTTCGTAGATGACATCGTTCCTCGGGCTTTTAGGGTGATACCCTGCAGGTCGTGGACTGTCTTGGGTCTTTATAGGTGATGATCCCGGACTTGCAACGTAGCAGCGCCTTCCTCCCTTTCCTTTCTAGTGGCCGCGCATTGAACAGAACAAAATCTTAAAATGTGTTGTATTCCCGCTGTCCGCGCAGTTTGAATCACCTTATCGGTGCAGAAATAACGCACGAGCAGCAGTCAAACGTTGCATTCTTCTCCTTTTCTGCTCGGATTTCCTCTCCTCTTTCTCCTCTTCCTCCTCCTCCTCCTCCTGTCGCTGGTACCAGGCAACTCAGACGCTTCAGCAGGAAAACCAAAATACACAAGCGAGCTCAAAACTGTAAGAACAACATGATGAAGAGAGCGGAGCGTCGCTTGAAGGTTTTCAAGCGGTCAAGTCCTGGTTTGTGGCTTCTGTGCCCAAAAAATGAACAGACATGCGTAAGAGCAGCGAGCCAGGCACACGGCATTCGTACTCTGACAAATTGCGTTGCAGGGGAACAGGAATTTAAAAGATCGTCACGTGAGCCTCCTCATATTGTCAGCCACACATCCTCCCCCCCACCCTATCTCTCTCTCTCTCTCTCTCTCTCTCTCTCTCTCTCTCTCTCTCTCTCACACACACACACACACACACACACACAGTGAGAGGCCCGGTGGGGTGTAATCATGAAGGCACTGCTGCTGCTGCTGTGGAAACCGTAAATGCAGACAAACCATTATCCTTCAAAAAGGGACGTTGTCCTTTGCACCACCCTCCATTGTTGCAAACAGGTGTATTGTCATGCCCTCGTTGTACCCATTGATTGCTCCACCTGTTCTTCTCTGTTGGCAGAGATGAGGCTGATAATTAAAAGATTAATGTGACAGCAAGAATGTCAGTGACAGAAATATCTTTAAACTTACACGCATGTAAAAAGTCATCGTACAAACTGTTCCAAAAACTAAAGGTGAAATATGACTGAGCAGAGTCCTCATTCCTCTGTGATGGGAGTCATGTGTTTCTTGTATGGAGAAAAGAATATTTGAATTCATATCATGAAGAAAGATGGTCTTTTTCAAAGCATTGCATAGTGACAGGGACTGAGTGTGTTTCCTGACAGATACTGTCATCTGGGTGCTTCACTGTGTTTTTAACAGTCCAAGGAACTCGCTTTGTTGTCTGTCACCTTAGCTTTTCTCAGTTCAGGAGGGAACATGCTGTTGACTCACAATGAGCTGACTCAAACCTGCAAACTGCCACACACTAGAAGTCCTCTGAATTTCATTTCCATCTGCACCACACAGGCTTCAATGCATATTTCAGGCTGACAGGTGGGAGGCCATTTTTTTTACAGATAGTAGTTTATCATTTTGCTCCATTTGGAAAGAAATACTGATAGAAAGGATTTTGTGGTAAAAGATCCATCCAAAAAGTGTTTGCAGAGCACAGATGTAGGCAGGAGCCTGACCATTCGAGGCTTTAAAAACAAGCAGTAAAATCTTTAACAACAATTATAAAACTCAGAGGTGACCAGTGAAGGGCAGCAAGGCCGATCGGTGTGATATGGTCCCTTATATTTGTACGAGGACGTAGCTGAAAAAAAACCCTTTTGTGTTCCAAAAAGGGCATATCTGTGTAAAGCACATTACAGCAAGCTATAGCTCATGTTGGTAGCTAGTAACGCCAACTTAAAAGACAATGTAATATGAAATAGGAAGATATGTAATTGGGAAAATGAAGTGGAAGAATTAGTCGCCGAGACTAGAGGGTCTAATTAAAGAATTACAGAGATGAGGAAGATGTCTCCAGTGTTCCTCTCACCCAAAGAATATCCATTGACACAAATGTTGGCGTACTCCTGTTTGCCCACCAGTGACGACTCAAGAAATAATGTTTGGATTCCTTGCCGGCCTTGTGATGTGAAAAGATATTTTCTGGCTGTTGAACACGGCACGCACAACCCACTTTGCCGGAGGAAAAGACCCTGAGGAATTTAAATGGCCTCTGGCAGTGTACGTGTGTATATCTGTGCCTGTGTTCAGCAAGATGTGTCGTCTAGATACGACAGAGAGACAGAGAAAGGGTGTCTTCCTGTGTTATGTTTCTCACTGCATCACACTGTGTTTTGTGTCTTTGCAGTTCCTGTGGTGAGTCTAATTTGTTAGTCAGGCCTTATGTATCACCTACACGTCTGAGGAGTGGAGCGCTGAGAGAGCAGACACATCAGCTGTGACAGAGAAGCCTGCTGGAGGGCCACAGTGACAGCAGGGTGGATTCTGCTTTTGTTTGTGTTTACCACAGAGAAGTCAGCGGAGGTAACCTTTACGCAGCCCCTTCATCCCTCCCACCATCCCTCTGTTCCTCACCCCTACCTCTCTCATCAGGCATCTCAGGGGGGAAGCCTGGGAAACTGTGACTTCACTGTTTTTTTGGGCACAAAGATCCATTGTGAGATCCTTTTACTATTTCTTTCTATAGAACAAGAGGGGGAACTGCTCTTGTCTCCACATCCAACATGTGAAAAAATGCCGCTCTGAGATATAGTCTGGACTGAATGCTGTGAAAGATAATCATTTATATGTGTTAAGGCATACACATTTTTTTGGCTGCTAAAAAATATTTCAGTGAATCTGTAAATGCGTAGAGACAATTGTTTTTCTTTTTAACCCTAACCCAACAAATGGAACAAATGGAATGTTTCTAATAATAATGAACTTATCAGATTTGATTTGCCAGAAATGTTATTGCTTACTTGATTTTTAAAGATTATTTATCTTACATAGATTAAATCATTTGACTGTAGAAATCACAGTTAGGCCTCTTAAACCACTCTGTCAACAGGACATTGTATGACTCCTATACATCTGATCACTTGCAGGTACTGAATGTCAAATAAAAGTGACAATGTGGGCCCAAAAAAAGCTAGAGTACATGTTTTACTTTATAAATCTCCACTTGCATCTCAAAAAATATCAAAAGAATAGCTCACAAAATGAATGAGACTTAATGTGAAGGTGCTTAACTAAAGCGTGGAGTGATCTTCACATTTTTGGAAAAGAAGACAGCAGATAAGCCTTTAGGGCTGCTTATTCCTAATATTTTCCCTCTTCTTCATCCAGATGAATCTTTGTATGGATTTGAGTTGAATCTCATATCACTCATAATTGAACCTCATTGAATTGAAAAGTTATTTGCACCTTGGGAATCTTGAAATAGGCAGCATGTGAATGAATCTACAGCACTGTCAGATATGCAGCACGGAGCCTTAAGTGAATAATCTGCAGTAAATGTTTTAATGTAATGTGAGTGCAGGTTTTGTGCACTGCTCTTTGCTTGTGTTTTGTTGAGTCGGGGTCAACATCCACAATGCCAGTGTAAAATTCCACAGGATATATCATACCTGACTGCTTTGAGGATATTCCCTCGTTCTTGCACGTCTTTTTCTTCACATTGCATGTTATTGCAGCTGAGTTACAGGTGAGCAGCATCTCACCTGAATGCACCTGAATTAAGCACAACGTCAAACAGGACTGTATCTGTCTGATCTTCTGTCCAAGCCTCAAACCCTGGAGCTGCATTATTTTATTACTCAGTTTCTTTTCACTGTGAGACACTTTTTCATAATTCTCTTAGCAGAGAATAAGTTCAATCATTAGCAATGATAAGTTGCTAATGTGTTTGTAAGATAATTTAGTTAGCAAATGTTGTCTTACTCTGTGCAACACTGGCCATCTGTTGTGCAGGACTTTTCGTTCCCTGACATGAACACATGCCCACTCGTCTCTCAGACTTCACACTTACTAATCAGTTGGAAATAATAATCTTGACCTTAAATAAACAGTTAGAAAAACAACAAAACATGTTGTTCAATAAGCAAGCGTAGTGTAGAGAGACATGGAACGAGCTATGATGTGGGTTTTTTTTCTGTCAAAATAAGTCCTGCAGACAAGACATTTAATGATACTTTAATCCTGATTAAATGTTTTAAACCTAACTTAACCACAGTGAATTAGAAAACAGGTACAGCAAATATAAAAAGAGCTGCACTTTATTTTCTCCCATAGGTGTTTGTTAATAAACAGAGAATTATCTCACTAAGCTTGTACTTCCACAGCACAGAGGTTCAATTAATCACACAAGGAAATGTGACACAGAAGAGAAGACAGTTATTCGTATCACGACTCTCTACATAAACCGTATTAATCACAAATGATAAGTCTGGAAAGCAGATTATGGGAGACTTTCAAACGACTAAGGTGCCTGGCTTGGCCATGAAAGAGATTTATATTTTTCATTCAAAAAATTAAATAAATCAATGACAGTGTTTTTGGCTATGCTATCGCAAACCATTAAAAAGCCCCAGATCTAGCAGGCATATTGTTACGATGAGTAACTTGTGTGATATGCCTTTGATTCAACTGAATACTCATTGTTGACAATAATATGTATGTTTAATTACATTTTTAAGTTATTTTGAACACGTGTCTAGAAAATTGTTGTGTCTCTGTCAACCTAATGTCTATACAATGGATTACAATCACTGGTGAACAACAACCCATAATTACTGACAGAATTGTAAGGGAAAATATTTGTATTCATCCATAATTTCCCTATTCCCTCCCACTAAATCTCCTAAGGTTGTTTAGTTGTCTTTTGTATTTCTCTTATCCTATTTACTTCACTCCGTGGTCTCTCTTCGTGTACTATCTCTCTTATTCTGCTTCTGTATTGTTTGTTGTTTCTGTGTAAGGTGAATGGTTTGGTTCAGTGCTCTCAATCTATGCTCAAAAAATGACATCGTGGCGCCCTCTGTCGACTACATATTGGAAAGCTGTACCCGGAAGTAGTAGCCAGTGAAGATGAATGGAAACACATGATGAAGATCAAACAAGCTGACGCAAACTACATTTCCTGTTTGGGCCTCTGGCTTTCAAAACAATACCAACGTTTTTAAGATGTAGAGCTATGATTGTTTTAATAATTTGCATTATAATTTAAGCACCATAACCACTTAATGAAGGTCATATAAACAATGGTGACAGTTGTGAAAAAAAAAATCAATAACTCTGTCTAACTTAACTATAGCTGTAATTTGATATATAATTGTTTTGTTTTTTTTGTCACGTAATTTTAAAATGTATTTAACAATTTAGATACTGAAAAATATTAATTAAAAATAAGATTTTATTTTGTAGGATTTCCGCCGGAAGTCTCGGTGTTGTTGCTGCTAAGAGAAAACATATATTGTCGCCTCGTGTTTGACAGGTTGGTCTGACTTCAGTTTGCAAGTTTAATATAATTAACTCTTATATTATTATCATCTTCTGCTACAGTTCAACCGGGGGGGGGTAATCACATAAACACGTGCCGTGATGCTTAAAAGAAAAGCCGTATCTGTGGCTAACGTTAGCTTGTTTTTTAGTCGTAACAACTTTTTAGCACCCAAAGCTAACCTTAGCCAGCTAAGTTAACCCGGTAACATTGCTTCTCCAGCAATAACGTTACAGGTTTATCCACTCTGTTTAATTCAACCGTATTCTATGCTAACGTATGACTTCTACTAGTACACAATATGTCTTTATAACATGTTGCTCTCTTGCAAATGACTCATGTCTGCAAAATATGCAGTATTAACAGTTTGAATACCCCCTCCCCTCTATTCCCCTCCAAGGGTTACATGTGAGCCTCTGAGCTTGGCACCAGCTGGGTTACATATCCTCAGGTTATACCTCTGAGTCTTGGTGAGGTGCATTCCACAAATACAGCATGTCCTCCCAGGAAGGTGGGGCTGCAGAGCCAGGCCCTGACACAGTGGGACCATCTACCTCTTCCTCCACGAACAATGATGCTGTCACCGGGGACGTCATCACTGTCACCATTGGAGCAACCGTGCCTACAGGATTTGAGCTCACTGCTGCAGAAGAGGTCAAGGAGAAAATTGGGGTTGATGCACAAATCAGCAAAGATCGTGGTCGCATCTACTTTCCAATAACCACTGACGAGCTTTTCCAGGTAGGAAACCTAAAATCAATGCATGCCTTTTTTCTCCAAAGTGTTTAATTTTCCTGGGTGAACATAAAACCTCCGTCTAAAATGTTTGTCTGTCCATTCTTTGAATATCTAGGTCCATCTTCTGAAGTCTGTGGACAACCTGTTTGTTGTGGTTGAGGAATATCATCTTTACCCATTCAAAGAATCAAAGGTAACTTAAAACCAGCATTATTCTGTTATAGCTGATATTTATTGTCAGGGGTAATAAACACAGTGTTTGTGCAGGAGGAGACCTTGATGGAGATGATGCAGCTTGCAACCACCCTCCCCTGGACTAATGCCTTAGCGGTTTGGAAACTAAATGGCACCCTAAAAAAGAAGAAAGGCTACCGGAAAGGAGGAAATGGCACCAAAGTAAAATCTAAAAGAGAGGCCACTGATGCAACTGTGGCTGACACTGAGCAGCAAGAGCTACCTCAGGCGGCGTCTGCTGCTGAAAGCCAGACGAAGGCAGAGAGCACGACGTCTGCTGCTGAAAGCCAGACGAAGGCAGAGAGCACGGCGTCTGCTGCTGAAAGCCAGACGAAGGCAGAGAGCACGACGTCTGCTGCTGAAAGCCAGACGAAGGCAGAGAGCACGGCTGAGGCTGAGACCAGCGCACAGGACTCGGAAGAGGCAGAACCCGAGGCCAAAGTCACCAAGTTCCGTGTGACGTGCAACAGGGCTGGTGATAAACACAGCTTTACCTCTAATGAGGCAGCCAGAGACTTTGGTGGGGCTGTGCAAGAATTTTTCCAGTGGAAAGCTGACATGACAAAGTTTGACATAGAGGTAGGCATCCTTGTTCAGACTGGACCGATGCAAAGCGAATACATTCATCACACTGGCCAAGACAAACCCTGCCTGTGCAGGTGGATTTGCGAGGCATGAGCTAATGTTTAGTTTGAGGAGTAACAAGAGAAAAAACAACCACTCTGTTGAGTAACGTATTCCGAGAACATGAGCTGTTCAAATGTGAAAAGGTGAAATATGCGTCATTGTATTATAAGATGGAGATGATGTGTTTTCAAAGTGATAACATTTTGTGGCCATCTACATTTTGTAGGAAAGTCTTTTAATTCTTGGCAGCAGTTGCCAGTTGTGTGTAACTTGACGACTAAAACTGCAGTTTGTTCACAGACTAAATTCAGTTTTAGTGCTTATTCTGGGTGAGCTGATATTTAACTCATGTTCAGGTAGATGTTGAAATAATTTGTCAATTCTAAATGTGTTTGCTTTGTGCTTGCACCTTTCAGTTTACTAAATAGACACGAATATTAGGCTGCTAAGAAACACTTAATCTACATCAAAATAGATTTTTTGACGATTGTTTCAGCTCCATAGAATACATAAATGTATGCGTAGTTACATTGATTATTGCTTTCTAATCATGCACTATGTGTTCCTGAACTGTAGGTGCTACTAAACATACACAACGACGAGGTGGTGATCGGCATTGCACTCACAGAGGAGAGTCTTCACAGGAGAAACATCAGTCACTTTGGACCCACCACTCTGCGGTCCACCTTGTGTTATGGCATGCTCAGGTAAGTCTACAACACTGCTTAAGCTCTGCTTTTCAATGTCCCGGGGAGGTAGTAAGGTTCTTGTTTAGCTTTTGGTAATATGTATGTCATTTAAATAAGGTATGTAAAAAGAGTTGGTGACAAACATACTGCAAGCAGACTCTCACCTACAGTTACAGCAGATCTCATTGTGTTAGCCTCCTCCCATTCACACAAATAGACACACATGAAGAAAATGGTGCAAACAGACAAAGACGAGGGCCACACAAACTACATTCTCATCAGCAGGAAAGTGAAAAATGCTCCACAACTTGTCTAATTGATGAGTGAACTATGTCTTTGAGTACTTATGCAAAGCATAAGTTGGCCAAATGACGTAGAGAATAAAATGATCAATACATTTATACTATTCAATTTAATATTTTCAAAAGATATTGGTGCAGCTGTGCAACAATCCTTCCATCTGGTAGTAGACATGACTCAGCGCTTGCAGGCCGATCCAACACCATCATACTGGCCAAGAACAACTCTTCTCTGGAGATAAAATTACAAGTCACGACTTAGTGTTGATTTTAAGGCGTAACAAAATACTGTAGACAATCAACACCACTGCTAAGCGACATGTTTTATAAAGATTAGCACATAAATAAACAGTATGTGGGAAGTAAAAATGCATTCTTTAGTACGCCGAAAACAGAGTAGCACTTGTGGTTCATTTCAGTCCACATTACAAGCAGATGAGAGGTTGAAGAAGAGAGGATAGTTGGCAGAGATCATTGACCGTGTTCAATGCCTTCAATCAGTTCAGGCATCTTGGAGGAAGGACATGATGGTTTGTACAACACGTAATTGGTCCAGATATTTACGAGTCATGACTTTAATAGTCCATGCAGACACACACAGGTGGTGTATTATCTGTTTAAAGTTGAATATGCAAATCACTGTTAACAGGTCATGCTGCAGCTACTGTTTCTTCAGAGGTACATTCAGTATATGATCCAAAATAAATAGTAATAATTGGTAATTACACAGAAACTTAGTAAAATGAAAACACCTTTTGTGCACATTCCAGATGAGTACAATGAGAGCAAAGAAATACAAATCATAACAATGTAATGCAGTGCAAACCAAAGAACTGAATATTTGATGAAATTCAAGCATTTTAACATTTAGCCATTCTACTTGTTCCATTTTTAAATCGGTTCTAATAAAGCGATGAATGCATTAGATACAGATAATGTTGAGGGAGGAAAGGCGCAGTTGGGTTTGATGTCATCGGGTAGAATTTTTAAGTAATTGAACAATTTTATGAGAGTCGTGTTTAGCGTTTCTGCTGGTGCGAATTGCGTTAGATCTGCTGTCAATGACTGTATTTCTCACTTTGTAATAAAAGTCAGTGAAATCAAGTGAAATCAGTCTTTAAATATTCTAGTTAAGATGGCATGAGGGGTGAGTAGAAATGTGTGTGTAATGTAATTCTGCAGTTAATCTAATGATTTAGAGCAGCAGAACTGGTGGATGCTGTATTGACATGTATGAGAATATAAAACGAGTCCATGTGATAATAAAACACATCATGTTGTACTGGTGATAAACTATTCATACTCTATTGTCTGTTGACAGGCTTTGTAAACCTCAGGCATCAGATATAATACTTGATCCAATGTGTGGGACTGGAGCTATACCATTGGAGGTGAGACTTGCTGTACCTGGGCTACAATATTCCCTAAAAATATACACCGTGTGTTATTAAACCGCTCTCACATTCTACAGTACAGTGTCATATGCCCAGCACCTCACACTGAGAAACACATCATTACTGCACCACTGCTACTGATCAAGTCTTCTGATGACCCACATAGAATTAACTTCATGAGCGAACTACAGACTGAAGACTTCAAGTGTCAAATGATGAGTGTACTGATGAATATACACTTTTTCTGTGTATTTATGCTTTTCTTCACCAGGGGGCCATTGAATTTAACAGTTCATTCTACCTTGCCGGTGACAACAATGACATGGCAGTTAACCGCACAGTAAATAACGTATGTCACATCCAGAGACGGAGGGCAGAAAAAGGCAGGTGAGAGGCTGCACAGCTGGACATCTCATGAGGAGGTAGTTTTAATATGACATTGTGTGTCGTTGATCGTGATTTAAAATCCCATTTTTTGGCTCATTTCAAACAGTGCATCTGGATTGCCCATCGACACGGTGCAGTGGGATCTTTGCAATTTACCCATAAGGACCGGCTCTGTCGACATTGTCATCACTGACATGCCCTTTGGGAAGAGGTACCATAATAACAGCGGTGTACAGTACATGGCTGATTAAATAGTATGTAGAAATTATGCTGAATAAGTCAATGTTTTGAATACTTGGGTACCAAGGTCTAAGCTGACTCTAGCATAACCACGGGGCTTTAGATGTTTGAAAATTTAATTTTGTAACAGAAAATACTCAACAATAGATCAAGATTGATACTCAATCTTTCAGCACTTTCACCCCAACTACGAGTTAAAATCTTTCCGTATCTTCCTGAAGAATGGGCTCAAGGAAGAAGAACTGGGACCTGTACCCCTCCTGTCTGAGAGAAATGGCCCGTGTGTGCACTCCAGGCACAGGGAAGGCCGTCCTGTTGACACAGGACAAGAAGTGCTTTACCAAGGTAACCTTACACTCGAGCACATAACCGGGTTTCTAGCTAAGACGTTGATGAAAGTTTTCCAAGTAAATAAGATTGGATTACATGAGAACTTACAAATAAGTCGCAGTGCAACAAGTCCTGTCCTGCCAACAACTTCCTGATAATTGTAATCTAAACGGTTGATTGCTTAATCCAAATGTTAATTTGGATGCATGCCTGTTGCATGCGGGAAACTGCCTGATACAAATACTTTACCGGTAGCCTTTCATTCATAAAGCAGCACCTAACTCACACCAATAAACAAATAACGACGATAAGTCCAACACAGAAATGTGGAAGTGGGTGCATCAACAAAAACTGAGGCAATAAACTTAATATTGTCACTAGTTGCATCATTTTGGAAGCATGATTACTCCTCGGGAGTCGACAACATGCACCCGTTTTCAGTTTTGTCAAAATTTGTACTAATTTACACTGAGCTGGGAACCGGTAGATGGACCTGCTCAGCAGTACATTGCGCCCTCTGATGCTCCGCCATTTTGTGTTGATTAGACACGTGTTCTGTATACAGTAAGAAAATACACAATTTAAATACCATGTTCCACCCAAAAACAATTTGGTTTGTATCTCCACCCTTGTACTAACAATAGTTCTTCGTTCTCCACACCTCAGTGAGCTTCAGATGGAGGCGTGTCAAGATTACAACTAAATAGTACACTGTGTGTACAAGTATAACACCTGTTGCCATGAAAGTAATTCTAAGAACAATTCATTTAAACAAAGTTCCCCGCCAGCAGTGGACATCTTGTAAGCCTCACTAATTGACTGATCACCGTCTCTTTTTGCCAATCTGTATAGTAATCAGTACATCTTTTCTTTTTGATACCAGATCAGAACTGTGTGTGTGTGTGTGTTTGTGTGTGTGTGTGTGTGTGTGTGTGTGTGTGGATGAATTAAATATGTTTTATTGCATTTACAAACTTCACCAACAGGGCTGGAAATCACCACAATTTAAATAGATGAAATAGTGGTTGCCAAAATGTGGAACATCCTTTGCTGTTAACACGGTAGAAATGAACGGCTTTGAAGTGGAACACACACTGACCAAGTTATTGTGTAATGTTTCATCATTTCTCAGTAGTCAGGATCGGCCAAACCAGGGAGGGAAAACATGCGCTGCTCTTAGCAAGTATAACGTGACAACGGCATAGTGACGTAGAACAAGGATCACTTTTGTTGTTATTAATTCCTGCAGTTAAACTTGCTGTACATTTCTCAATGATTTACATTTATAGTGAACATGTAAAGTGTCCTGATACACCATTTTCCCAAACTGTTACAAAGAGTTTTCTCATCAAAGCAATCCTGTCACATCTGTATCAGTGTTTCTCTAACTTTAATGCTGTGATTTAATACAAGCAAGAATACAATGTGCATTAAGACCACTCTACCTGTCAACAATATACTGTAAGCACATCTCTTAAGGTCGTTAGAGTTTTTGCTCTGTAACCAGTCATGCCTCATGAGACTGAACATTTGTTCTTTACACCTCATGACGCATACCTATAAGGCATTTTAGTAAAGTAAGCTGTCCAGTGTATTATGTCATTAACGGCTGTTATCGCCATGCTAGCGGCAGTGATGATAAACAGGTCTAACGTTCATCATGCATGACAGAATGTTACAATCAGCTGAGTCGAATGGTAAATCAGATTAAGAAAGTGTGCTATGAACATTTTGGACCTACAAATGGGGTCATGGGTCGCAAAAATATTAGTAGATGATGTGTTTACTGTTGACTTTTGTGGTATATGGGCTTTCCCAGATTTGGTCAAACTCAAATAAAGGATAATAGTATATAGTAACATGGCATTCTATTGTGAAGTGGAAAGGGCCAGTGTTTCTTCTACCACAATCCATCAGTTCATCATTTGTAAATGCCAGCGTTTTCTTATGTTTAAGCAGCTCCGCATCAAGTTTAAACATCTTAACGTGTACTCTACTTAAAAGCCCATGTGCAGAATCACTTTACCCTCTCTAAATAATCCCCCCACAGTTTGAAGGATGCAGGTTTAACTCGGCTAAGTCTGAGTCATGGAAAAATACTTTAACCAGCTGTATTTGTCCAAGCTCAGAGTTCTTGTTTTAGACGAAACAAATGGCTCATTTGCCCTCATGAGATTTATGTTGTCCCCAGGCTATCTCGAGGATGGGAGGACTGTGGAGGAGGCTGCACACTGTTTGGGTGAATGTCGGGGGTTTACATGCCGGAGTCTACCTCCTCAAGCGGACCGGGGCCGTGTTTGGCCAAACTCCGGAGGATATCCATGAATCAAGAGGGACGGTTAATGCTCAGGGGGATGAGAACGGCGACAAGCAGCTCTCTTAATTCACTTCCTGCGTTTAAGTTCTGAGTTTATATTTGAGGCCGTGTAGGATCAACATTATTTATATTCTCTTTAATCACTTTTTTTTTTTTGTTCATTCAGGTTTTCTGGTCAAGCTTGCCAAGCAGTTTTTATGAATCATTTTTTAGTTTTTCTCATTTTGGATTAAAATGTTTAATTAATGTGATAAATGGCTAAATGGAAAGACAACAGATATGTTCATGTTCAGCAGCAGTTGCTTAGTGTTCTCTCTCTCTCTCTCCGTTTGACTGAGGCAGTTCATTTGTCATATATTGCTGTTCAGAAACCGGCTGAAATTGTTTCACTCCTCAGACCCGCTGCATCCACTTTACAGGAACTGCACATTGCCATATTGTTCTGATTAATAAAGATTCAAACAAAATGTCAGCTGATGTAAATATTCATCACATCAAACATACATGTTGTCTGACTGATACATTTACAACAAAGAAGGTACAGGAAGGGGTACCATTATTTGTATTATTTGTATTAATGTTGGTATTATCATTATGTGTTATGATCACTATTATTTTATATATTACAGAGAAGACAGCGGGTGAACGCCTCACAGAGTGAGTCTTTCCTTTCTTTAAGGTCTACCTGCGAGCCAGCACATCTCTAGTGTTTTTCCTTCATTTCTCCATATATGACGTGCTGACCTGAACACACAACAGGACGGGACACGTAATGATATCCGATATTGAGCCAAAAGGGAAGTAGAGTAATTGGGAGTGACAGTAATAACTTGTGGTGTGCGTGAACATTTGCATGCAGGGTTATAACCTACTTCCTTTAGCCTTTCGGTAAACCCTTGCCTAACTTTGAACAACTATTCCCAAACGGAGAACACGATTCTAATCAGTTGTTATGACGAATAAAGATTAAAAAAGCAACTGTCATAAAACTATTAAACAAAGACGGACAGAAGGTTTTGCGGTGAATATGAATCGGGTCTTGATGGTAGGAATGAACTATAACATGGGAGAATAATGCCATGTTTTAAATCTAAACAGAATTTATAGCCAATTATTGATATAGTTTGAGCACGAACATTTTTTCAAAGTCAGGCAGATATAAGTGCAGATACTTCCCCATCATTTGAATACTAAAAGGATAATGCTAATAGTTTATATTTTGTCTAGGTCATATATTCTGGTACGGGAACAAAGCAGCCCGTAAAACGTGCGCTACGAGGAATTCAATGAATTCCCTTTTTATTTTCTTGTGTCAATCAAAGTCAACGAGCCATGGCTACCGGCATGCGGTCAGCGAGTACACCCAACTATATTTCAGTTGGATGAGCAGTCTGCAGATGTAATGACAGATGACAGAGGCAAAACACTGACGTAATTGTGAGCTCATAAAAGCCATGTGAGAGCTGAAGGGACTTCATTGACTGCGCGGCGAGGAACGTAAACACACGAGATGATCTGGACCATTTTCCTGCTTGGGCAAGCTGTCCTACTTTATTTTATTCTCACACACAGATCGAGGTGAGCTACTGTTTGATTCACTTGTATTGCCCTGTGTACATGTTGTACATACTGTAATATTTGCCACAACAAGGAACGTAAATACTCCCTTTGACACCGAATCGGTTGGGCTCTTGTCAATTATTTTCTCGTAATAACTGTGCTGTCAATGGTGAAGTAAATTCATGGGTGACTTAAAATCCATTTGAGGCTACGTCTCGGGAGTGCCTCGCTAATAACATTGTGATTTACTGTATAGCAGGTTCATTCTCCAGTCTGAGGAATGTGGTTAAACTACAGTGTTAAGGTGTCGACTCTTGTGAAGCTTTACTGGTTTTTCTTTTCCTTGAAAACAATTACAAATTATCTCATAATTAATAATACACACACAGACTGCACTGACTGTGTCCAATGAGATAGAATCACTGTGTTGTTTATTGTCCAGGACTGTTTAGTTGTGTCCCCACCTTTAAAACTGTCATGTCAGTAAAGATAAAGTGCCAAATAAACTGATGAGCATCAAATACACAGTCAGTTTAACTTTTCTTGTTAACTTTTCTTTCATTTTTTTCTTAGATCCAAGAGCGATCCTCCTCTAGATAAAGGAGTCATCCCATGGTTAGGCCATGCACTTGAGTTTGGAAAAGATGCTTTCAAGTTCTTAAACCGAATGAAGCTGAAACACGGTGACATTTTCACAGTGAGTAGAGGAAAACCTAAAGATGGTGCACATTCATTGGTCTCCTCTGTAGATACTTACATGTTCATTTGTTATGAGAACTTTTGAGGACTTCATATTTGTGTAAAGGTTTAGCTTCAAAGTCTTAAACTGCTCAGAAAAAAATGGAAATTTACAACTCCCAATTGAAGATAATGTGATAGATAGCTACTAAATGGACTTTGAGGTCAGATTGTTTTGTCAACAGCTGTTTCCAAAATCAAGAATTAATTTTATGAATAGGATTTTCTGATGAAATATTATTTTCAGTATGATTATCAAATGCTTGGTGGTCAGTTTTAATGCAAAGTTTAGAGGAGAAAAGTGAAGTCATGGGCAGTAAATTAGAAAGATCGGACTTTTGTGCTTGTTTTTATCTTGTGAATCTAATCTGGAAGAGTTTAAACGTACCTGTCCGAATATTACTGTCGAATACTTTTTAAAGATTGAAGAATATGTTGATATTCATGTAACAGCATGTTACCGATAGAGTAACATAATATCAGGATATACTATGATTCTTAACTTGATCCTGAAACAAAATACAAAGTTTCATGTAAGTGGTACTATCAAATTATTTTCCAAGAAATGTGATCCCGAGTTTTGTACATATTCATTAAAGAGTAAAAGAATATTGCATTTCAACAGATATCAAATAAACTGGGGTGAATATGGTTCGCTTATAAACTGACAACATAGTTAAGATATAAGAGACATATAAGTATTGTGGTATAAGATATAACATTTCTCCCTTTGGCACTGATGATGTACAGGTGCGTGTTGCTGGACGTTATGTGACGGTGCTGCTGGATCCGCATTCGTACGACACAGTCATCAATGACTCCGACTCGCTGGACTTCACTCGCTATGCACAGGTGCTCATGGAGAGGATCTTCAACCTGCGGCTCCCACATCACCAGCCGGCTAAAGCCAATGCGTTGATGAAGAAGTATGCCCTTATTAGTTTATACTCCAAACTGAAAGCTTGTAGTGTATGTTTTCAATTTCATTTCATAGAAATGTGGAAGCGATAATAGTTTGTGGAAATCCTCCCACTCGAGTTTCGTGAATAGTATGGCTGTGGATATTTTTGAAAAACACCCTTCCTATTTTAGGAAATCTAATTTTAGGACTTCTTGTTTTGCTATTGCTCAGATACCTGTTTTAATAAAATACTGGCACACATCAAAGAAAGGAGGGAAAACCCAAACACTTGATGCAATCTTTCTTGTTTTAAGGATCAGCGTTTGGGCACACTGCCTTCTTTCGGTTGCATCTGAGTTATATGTGTGCAGTTTTCCCCTCTTTTCTTTGCTCATCATGCTACCACTTGACCCAAATTTGCTAAAAATAAAACCCAAGTTCTATTACCTTAGGTAATGTAAGGCAGCCAAGCCAAGAAGTAGCTTTGATAATGTGTGTCAACACCACCATGTCATCAGTGTGATATGATTTACAGGATTCTACTTCCATCGTACAGCAGTTAACCTATTCTTACTTCTTCACCGCAACGTTTTGTGTCTGCAGGCATTTCCTGGGAATTAATTTTGCTGCCCTGAACAGCACCATGAGCAGACACCTGCAGGCCTCGCTGAAAGCTGAGATGACTCAGAACCAGAAAGACTGGAAAGAGGAGGGACTGTTTGACTTTTCTTACAGCTTACTCTTCAAGTACGAATGCCCCCACCCACCCACACACACACACACACACACACTCCTAACTATGTTAAAAGAAGCATTCATGTCAAAAGCTTTCAGATAAACAGTTTACACACCAGTCATTACTCTATTTGTAAACACAGCAAGAAAAATGTAGGCTGACTCTTTCACACAAATGTTCAACGTCACCTTTCCGGTCGAACCTTTATGCAGAGCGGTTGTGAATCCAAATATCTTTCATGATATGAAGTATATCGCTAGCAAACAAAGAGGAGAGCAGTTATCTGGAATGTGACACTGTATATGGGGCTAATGTTTCCTGTGACATGGTGACATCCAACAGAAGGACATGCTGCACCTTGTGTGGCCCTGTGGAAAATTACCAGTTGAAAGGGGATCGCTTGTGTGCTTTCAAACGGGAAAAACTGTGGGGGCTGGTTATTTTTCCATCAAGGCAAAACAAATCTCCTTTCTCTACAGGGCGGGGTACCTGACGCTCTTTGGAGGAGAACAGAACAACAACGGCACAGACCCCTCGAGTGTCTATGAAGAGTACAAGAAGTTCGATGGTCTCTTAACCAAAATGGCGAGGGGCACACTAAAGCCAGGTAGTGACGCTTAAAACAACTCTCACTATGAAATGCTTCAAAACTCCTTGTGCCCACTGATATTCTTCATGAGTTAATCAGAGGTTTCAGTCAGGCAGCCTGAAAGCATTGCGACATATTGAATGACGAAACAGTTCTGTCTGTGCCTGCGGCACATCGTGCGCAGGCACAATTTGTGCGCAGGCACAATTTGTGCGCAGGCACAATTCATCATCAAAGTCTTTCACAGACTGTGATGTATCTTGTACTATTAGCTCACTGCGTACACATTATTTTCATCTGGCTTCATTATTCTTTGTGTGCTGTATCATTGTTTAGAATTGCATTTGTTCCTCCCATACAATATCATGCACACCTCCTCCAGTGCTGCTTGTCATACCTGAAATAATGTTCCTCTCACACCTCTTTTGCACAATGATATCTGTTTATGTATCTGGGCTTTGGTTGACATTGAGTTCCACTGGTTATATGTTGCCTGTGACTCACTCGATCACTTATGTGTGATGTTTATCTGTGTGACAGAGGAGAAGAGGACGGCCCAGAGTGTTCGTCAGAGGCTGTGGGAGCTTCTGGCTCCAGCAGGTGAGACTGAGGCCTCGGGGTCGAGCCCTTGGCTTCACGACTACAGGCGGCTCCTGCAGGAGGAGGGGGCCGATGAAGAAACGCAGAAGAAAGCTGTACTGATGCAACTTTGGGCCACGCAGGTGAGTCAGACCTCAGAAGAAGCATTCTTTGTGTGCAAAGCAAGAGTTTCAGTTGATGATTACCTCTATAGATTAGGAAAGTAGTCTGCTTGGATTAACTTTGTGTAACTGAGTCTCTGTGGTGTCCCTATAGTGTTGTGAGGTGACCAAGTAGATTTACTCAAGTTGCACCATTAGAGGTACTTCACATGACTATTTCAATGTTCTGCTACTTTATACTTCTACTCCACTACTTTTCAGAGGGAAAATATTGTACTTTTTACTCCACTACTTTTACATGACAGCTGCAGTTACTGGGTACTTTGCAGATGGAAATTTGAACTAAAACAAAATGACAGGCTTATAAAAAAAAATAAAACATTGTTAAAGGATGTGTGTAGTTGGAGTAGCTCAGCCAGAGAGAGCAGAGCAGATGCTAAACGACATTAAAAAGTACTAATAAAAAGCACCTGTAACATCAGGGCTTATCAATACTACGATCTTTAGAAGGGCTTTCGCTGGAGCCAGTGTTTCGTTAGTGTCCGTTCTGGGCTGCTGTAGAAACATGGCGGTACAAGATGGCGGAAGACCCGCTCCCTACATAGATATAAACGGCTTTTTCTAAGCTAAGGAAAACACAACGATTCTTAGTTTTGGCTGAATAGACACTGATTAAAACATAGTTATGAATTTTATATTCAATATCTGCCAATAAACACCCCTATATGTTACGCACTGTTCCTTTAAGTAAAAAGTCTGAGTGGGCCTTCTTCTTCCACCACTGTGCAGTGCTCTTACTTAGCACACGAGTGCACTGTTCACTTCTGCTCTCACAGCAGTTATTCTGCCTTTGATTGGGAAAACCATGAAAGGTCTTCAGGAAGAAAAGGTAGACTATTGTAATGGAGCACAAAGTTTCAATGTGATGGACTTCAAAAGGCTGAATCTTGTCATGACTATTTCTTGCGTCAATAAAAGGGAAATGGCAACTTAAATGATAGTTTTCACTACAGTACTCACACTTTACAGTGTTTCCCCTGAGATCGATTTGAACTGGTCTTGACTTCTTACTCACACAGTCTTGCCTACAGCCTGCTGGAGGGATTTATTGCATCAAAGGCATTAATCAGACGTTTACATCAACATTTGACTTACGCTGCAGGCTGCTTACTCATCCTTTTTTTTTGCACTTCTCACCGTTGTTTATTTCCATTTGATTACAAGTTTTGAGTCATAACTTTTCGTTGTCAGCCATGTACTGGCAAATCGTTGTTCCCTAAAAGTTTAGTAAGAGCATTTAACATGCGTTTTCATGGCATACAGAGGATCTCTTGGACAGTTATTGCGGTAATGACTAACAGTATTGTAATCACAGTCAATATAGTATAATTAAGTTTAAACAGTGAATTATTTAGAAGCTCTCCCACACTCAGGTCTGTGATACATCTGCCAAAAGTTTGGATAATGTCTTGTTCTTGTGACGCATATTTTACAAGTTCTATCATCAGCAATGTCTTTATGTATTTTAAAGTAAGTATTCATTACACTTTGTGGTGCATTTGCAGTGATTTAAGAGGCAATTCTATGGTAATAGATTCACTGTGTTAAATTTCCATAGTGTGCACTATTTAATGTGTCTACTCTTGGCAAACAGCGCCTCAGTTGGCTGTAAAACTAAATAGCTTCATAGCTTGTCCTTCCTTTGGACGCAGGCGGACGGCAGGGGACCTCAGGTTTCCAATGGCTTTCTTTATTAAGTAAACCATTACCGCACTTTGCCAGTAGTGAGACTATCCAGAGATGGCTGCTCTCATCCCAGACACACAAAAGGAAGCTGTTCTGTTTTTACCTCGCCAACATTTAAGATTAATTCAACCTTTTTATTTAATTTAAGTAAACTTTTATTGAAATATATGCTTTGTTGCAACTCTAACAAGAGATAGATGTGAGCAGTATGGTTGTCTCCTGATGTTCTCATTTGCACCGTCACTATGCAACGCCAGAGTGAGAGAGACAACCTTCATTGTCTTCATGAGAGTCTCTGTTTGTTTTCAGGGTAATGTTGGTCCTGCTGCATTTTGGCTCTTGGGCTACTTATTGACAAATCCTGAAGCTCTGGCAGCGGTGAAGAGGGAGTTCAGCGGGATCTCAATGATGGAAACCTCAGAGACCTCATCGCTGGACAGACCTGTGGACACACCTGTCTTTGGTGAGGGCTTGATCCCAACTTTTTTAACAGAGAAACATGTATTGGTTGTACTGTAGGTTGATCTTATTGTCAGTAAGATGAGGTGGAAACTAAAGTCTGCATTCACATTTCAAGAAATCTTGAATATTACACATTATGTGCATATATAGTGTAAACAAATAAGAGAAATATTGCAAATGAGGGCGAAAGCCGCTGCTCTTTTGCTGTTATTTACAACATTTTTTTCTGCCCCTCTCCAGATAGCGTCTTGGAAGAGACACTTAGACTCACTGCTGCCCCCTTCATTACCAGAGAGGTGGTGCAGGAAAAGTGCCTCCACATGGCTGATGGCCAAGAGTACCTGCTACGGAAAGGAGACAGGGTGTGTTTGTTCCCCTTCAACAGCCCTCAAATGGACCCTGAGATTCACCACGAGCCACAGGTTTGTTTTCCTGTCTTGTTAAAAAAAACTCCCTGTGTTGCCAGCAGGAGTAGTAGTAATTGTCTTTGGGACTATTGGAGGCAGGCTTAAATTTAATTAGCGTAGTTGTTTATGTTAGGTGCAATTGACGCCTACACAAAGCTGACCCTGTGTTACCAAGTGAGAGGTCAAACCCAGTGGACCATTGAGGGATTAGCTGAGCACGGGAACAGAAACACGGCTAATAGGCGTGGGAAGGACTTTGCAGTTAGGCTGTATTAAGTAACACTCGAGCTTAGACAAACAAACAGACATTAAACGGTTTGATTAAGCTAAGTTTCATAAATTAATTTTCTAATATCTTGCATCTCTAAATGTGTTTTCTTTCCAGAAATACAAGTACGATCGGTTCCTGAATCAGGATGGATCAGTGAAGAGAGATTTTTATAAAGGAGGGAGGCTGCTGAAATATTACACCATGCCATGGGGCGCAGGGACCAATGGCTGTGTGGGAAAGCAGTTTGCCATCAATACAATCAGACAGTGGGTGTCCTAGAATAAGTGCACCATGTAACTTTACAATCGGTCAAGGCCTCAACATGTTCTACACTGGAGGAGTTTGTTACCTTTAATTTCGGTTTGAATTTTCTAATTTCATGTTTCATCTGTGTTTACACTTCAGGTTTGTTTACATGGTGTTGACGAACTATGATTTGGAGCTGCGTGACCCAAATGCTCAAATGCCGGAGGTAAATGCCAGTCGTTATGGATTTGGGATGCTACAACCGGAGGGGGACTTGCTTGTCCGATACAAACCTAGGAATACAAACTAGGTGTTTAAAAACAAGCAACTACACATTATGCACGTTTCAACACATGCACATTGTTTATAGTGTCAATATGGCCCTTTGTACTTTTATATTCTATATTTATATTATGGTATTATATGTCATTATTTTGTTATTTATCAATAAATGTAAAAAATACATTGTGTATAATATTGTGTTGTCAAATTTTTGAAGAGTTTTTGGGTAAAATGATTGGTGAGTCCATTACAGTCATATAAACATGTACGAAGCTACAATTTTAGAAGCTGTAAGAAGTTCAGCTTTGGAGGATGGTTTCATGCAGAGCATGAGCGTAATGAGCGGACTGCCTGTACTGTAAACAGAGCCGGCCACACATCTGTCACACTGACACATGCCTGCTGTTTGCACAGTGAAGCTGAGTGGAAAGTTTAGATTTATATGTCGTTTGGAAAGAAACTGATCACTTACTAGAAGAAGCAGATCTACATTGGACCACAGACTGAAAGGTACAGTGCTAGTTTGCAGAGAAACAACAAAGAGCACGCTCTTATTTCTACTCAGATTTTAGTTACATCATCAAAAAGTCGGGGCACAATCATGTGTGTGTTGAGCCCTTTTGTGTGGATCAACTAATACATTTCCCACTGAGCCTGATTGTGTGCCAGTTGGGTTGTCTCTGCCAAGACTGATTTTACTTTTACACAGACTGATATCAGATATTGTATTCCCAGTTTAGCAAGCATGTACAGGCTACCATCCAGGGAAGAATAAGATCACTATGACACTACTGTAGGTCTGTCTCTAATAGTGGGCTGAATGTGTGGCCCGTGGGGATATATGGTGTGTTTAGTGGCCTTACTTGGGGGTGTTTGATACTTTTGACAAGTACTAGCTACTCTTCTTTGTACTAGCTTATTAATCTAACTACTTGCCAAGCAACTACGAGTGGAAAATAGCAATTTTACAAACATTACATAATTTATGTTATACAAGTCATGTTATAATGTCAAATAATACATTTAAAATATATATAACAATCTACATAGGATTACGGTTTTGCAGTAATCGTGGATGTATAGTACCTTCTTTAAATCATTTTTGAAAAAGTTCTGGCCAAAGATGCGAGTTCCTAATATTGTTTACTGGCCTATAAAACGGCTCCACAAAGCAGAAACACCATGTCAATGCACTGAGCCGTGGCTCTCTGGCCCTGCGAGGGTTAAACTCACACAGGCTGCAGCCTCTGGAGGAGCATGAGTGAAATCAGCCCCCTGCTGGATCCCGCTCACAGTCCCAGGCGCCGGCCAGCGCTCACTCACACTGTGAGAGGAGAGGTACCGAGAGTATTCCCGGCTATTCTTAACAGTCTACTTGTTGAATCGCTCCAGGAGGGGCTGAAAAGGGTGGACTGGACACGGTGATACACAGTTATATTTTACAACATGTCGCCACGTAGCTCATGATGCCTCCACCAGCTCCCAGCAGAGCACCGGACACCTGCACGGGCATAGCAAGTTTTTACGCGTTTACACTTGAAACGCTGATTTCCGTCAATGAGATGAATCGGGATGAACGGGAGACACGTATGTATAATTATTTCTTCATTGTGTTCATGTCAGATTTCCTTTTTACAGGCTATAGCCCACTTGGTTTCACTTTGATATTGTATCTCTATTTGGCGTTGCTGACCACCATTACAATATTTACTACTTTGATTTCCAGCTCATGTCGGCCAATGAATATTCATATATTTCCCGAAAATGCAGTTGTTTTGCATGACTCTAATGTTCGCGAAATAATGTAGCTATTAGATCATTTTTGCCCAGCTAACTTTAAGAACTGCTCTAATTGTTTGTCAATTGAAACTCGAGTACAGACTCTCACGGGTGGATATAATGTTGTATGGGCTGTAAATCAAGTTGATAATCGGTTTTAGTATCAGTCCATCTTAACATGAAGTCATAGTAATAACAACACATTCACTTAAGTACTTCTCGACTGCTCCGCCTTTGAATCGGGATTGATCGCTGTCCCATACCGAGCTGAGACGTTTCAGTACCACAGTCCGCGGACAGCGACAGACAGGGTCTGCAGAGTGACAGACAGGCGTTTCAGCACCGGACAGCGCTCACAAGTGGAGCCCAGTTTATCATTGGTCCGGCTCTCTACCCCCCACCGCCACCCTTGTCAGCAAGAAAAGCGGCTGTGCCTCTCAAAGCTGATTAAAATATCTATTTGGTTCTCTGATGAGTGGATAAACCACCTGACATTGCTACTGTAGGACACTGGCACTGGCTGTTCAACTGCGTTTCAATTTATTTTTTTTCTTGTATTACAGCCACAAGAAGAAACGAGGGGGGCCCTGATGTGGTCATCTACAGGACCATGTCTCCTTAATCTGCTGGATTTTATCTTCCAGTCTTTTCAAGAGACAGAGAGACTTGAGTGACTTGAGTGAAGATGATCAAAACGGAGCCTCCGTCGGCCACCTTGCTGCCACCGGATACCGTGGACATCATCCGCAGCAAGACCCACACCCGCCGAGTGAGGCTCAACGTCGGGGGCCTTCTCCACGAAGTCCTGTGGAGAACGCTGGACAGGCTGCCCCGCACAAGACTGGGCAAACTGAGGGACTGCAACACCCACGACTCTATCATGGAGGTATGCGACGACTACAGCCTGGATGACAGCGAGTACTTTTTCGACAGACACCCCGGCGCTTTCACCTCCATTCTGAACTTCTACCGCACCGGGAAGTTGCACATGATGGAGGAAATGTGCGCCCTCTCGTTCAGTCAAGAGCTGGACTTTTGGGGCATCGACGAGATCTACCTGGAGTCCTGCTGCCAGGCCAGGTACCACCAGAAAAAGGAGCAGATGAACGAGGAGCTGAAGAGAGAGGCCGAGAATATGAGAGAGACGGTCGGAGAGGAGTTTACAACCACATGTTGTTCCGAGAAGAGGAAGAAGCTCTGGGACCTCTTGGAGAAACCGAGCTCATCATTTGCTGCTAAGGTAATGTCCTACACAGCCACCACGAGAGAGGATAGCGTTGACATTCAACCAACATGTCTATATTACTTAAGTTTTTAATAAAGATGTATCTATCAAGAGGTGAAGGGAAGGTTGCTGAGTAGAGTTTGGTCCTAATGAAAAGGGTGTACATTTAGAAAAACAGTTTCAAAAACGAGAAAAGTGGGAACATAAGAAATGTAGTTCAATATCCAGAGGCTCTTTGAGACTGGTTTGATCTGATGTCTGACTTTCTTTAAATCCGATCCAGTGCTTTCAATCTGTCACTTTGAGCAGCTGGAGTTCATGAGAGAGGGAGAATGAGAAATAGATGATGTACTCAGAGGTGAAGGTCAAAGCTGTCAGCAAATGTTTGCCTATTCATCAGTGTGTATTGAAGAATAGTATAACTTTGGAAACTGTTACTCCACTTAAATCAATAATCTTATCTAGGTGTACTATCCTGAGAAGAAAAGGTGTTGTTTTTTACTGGTGAGTTAATTAAAAGCCTTTTTTGCTGGTGAAAACATGACAGCCTTCATTGACTCCCTTTATTGGTTTCAGTCAGATAGCTGTTCCTGAGACGTGTATTGCCTGCATGCTGGTCTCCTCGGGTAGTTATTGAATGTTTATTTTTCAATGGCAACACCAGAGAGGATGACAAGAATGACAATAAGTGTTAAGAGTTTAATCCATATCACGACTGCAAGAGACTCTCCTGCTCAGAATATATATTTTTAGACCTCCTTTCCACAGTCACCGCCTCTTAGCTTCATTAGCCACCCCCAGTCCAGTAGTCAATCATCCAGCTCATTAACAGGCTCATAGCTCACACTCCAGGAACCAGAGTACTTCACTTTGCTGGATCAATGATCCCATGTCATATTAACAGCATTTTAAAGTGGACTGACGGAAAGATGTGACTGGGTCAATATTCAATCACAAATGTTTTAAACAACTGCCCGACTGCATTTTACCAATACAATAACTCTTTGGTGAATCTGCACATTTAGAGATGTTACTCTTTTCCGTCACTCTACATTTACCAGACAGTGTCAAGCTTTTATTTTCAGATTAAATTTAGAATATTTTCACCATGTGTCATTGGTTTAAACTTATGTGTGCACAGAAATATGTAAGATATCATGGTCAAGTCATTACTCAAAGATATTTCAAACACCTCTTCGATTGCGCTGCTGCGTAATTTATTCAGCTCATCTATCGCTGACCTTTAATTACTGAAGCTTTCATTATTTCTTAATTCTTAAATATGCAATCACATTGCTTAAGGACATGCTACAGTTATGATACTCAGGGCCCCTTGGTTCTCTCCACACAGACAAACACCAGGTCCTTTGGTAATAATGCCAGCCCTGTCCCCTAACAATGATGTCCTCATACAACAAAACATTGTGAATTACATTTGAGGGGACGTATTTTGCTGTGTATTACATTTGCTCGTGATGTATCACAAATTAGTTTCAAATGAAGCCGCGTAGTCCACGTAGGAGGGAGTTTGGGGTGGGGGATGGGTCAAAAAACACAGGGCTTTCACCAAGAAGACTGTTGTACCATGTGAACCCAGTACTTTTGTTTCGTTTGTTTGGTTTCAATTTCATAGTCATTTTAAGATAAACCATAATGTTTTTATTACAAAATCTAGCCAAGTAGTTATGTAGTGTTTTTTTGTTCAAATTTACGTTAACCCCATGTTTAAAACTGTTAGATTATAATTAATGATGAAGATTGGCCTGTTATCAGACATAAGCAAATACATCCCTATCATTTTACCTTTTTGGCCTACCTCGGAAAATGTTCTCGCATGAACTCCTATCAGCTAAACACAAACAAGTGCTGCACAGTTAAGGGGCCCAGCAACTTTTGAACAAAAGAAAGGGAAGTGACAAATAGGGCCATTTCCTCGTGGTTTACTTTTCCCATATGAGACAGAAAACTGTTTTTTAAAATGCCACATTGAAGTTAAATGACAGCCATTAAATGCAGTCTTATTTCTGAGGCTTAATTGAAGGGTTGCATCGGTGAAATAGCTTGTTCCCAAACACATATTCTGCCTCATTTATTTTTCAGTGCTGAAATGAAATTTTAATTGCCCATTAATAATGCTTGACTTAATGCCAGAGAGAGAAGGTGTGATCCAGAATATCTATAGCTCCAGATGTCACCTCATCATCAACCTTTGGGAGTTATAACATCCCCAAAAATACACATGGACACCAGCACTCTCTCGACTTGAATTTATCATGTCAAAGCAGAGGTGAAGGACAGCAGATGTGCAGCATTTGATAGTCTGTCTTTCTGTTTGGGATTGTTGAGGTGTTACTGAACAGTTTTAGACCCACTTGAGTCTGCATTTCCACCATGGGTCTGCCCACTAAATTATTCATAATAACAATATGGACTCCTGGAAACTCTGGGAAAACTTGCAGGTAATCATTTCATTAAAAAAAGATAAGCTCTTGCAGTGTGTGCTGTCATTTTTAGCGTAGCCGAGTGGGAGGAAAGGGTAAGTGGGTTGTGAGTGAAACCAGTCTATGTAACACAGCATGTCTAAGCATGCCGCTGTTGTTTAATACTCCCTGAGGTGCAGCTCAGTCTCGGAGGGATCACAGCCGCCCTATAAATCACACTCTCAGGGGTTTGGCATCTGAAAGTGGCTGTATTTAAAGGCCAGCAGCTCTAGGTTTTCTCAATCAGCTTACTACGGTGATGGAGTCGTATACATGAACACAATCATTTTCTGCATCAGTCAGAGCCGTTTTGGTTCTTTCACAGGAGATTTCTGCCTCTTCGGTTTTGTCTGTGCTCGTCTCATCGGTTTTGAAAAGGGCGGGGCTCAGTCGAGAAAAGGAGACGCACCAATCAGGATTTAGCAAAATGTGAATGATGTGATTACAGTTTTGAGGTGGTCAGTCAACTCATCAAAATCAATCAAATCGGATGAAATATTTTGAGCTTTAACTTTTGACTGTTACTTATTTAGTCACAAATATTCTGTTAGAAGATTTCAAACCAGGTTCCGGGTGCTTTAGACTTGTGTGAACTTATCCATATAAGAGAAGGCAGTTTCAAAAGTGGTATGTCGCAGTATAATATCACATTACCTTTCACAGGTGAAGGTCTTAATATTTGTTTAAAGAGTTGAATTACAAAATTCGAATAAATTATTACCAGATTATTCCAAGAAATATGCCTCGTAGTTTACCTCACATCTCTCACACGGTCAAGCCATCAAGAATGTAGATCAAAATGAGCTTCTGTTTTGTGGAGTCAGTATGAATCGGTTAGAATTATATATTATACCTCTTTTAACCCTTTGGTTTTGTTTTAGGTATGAGCAACATCTCAGAGCTTAGAAAGATGAGAAAATTATGTTGTGTGATTTGTTTTCTTCAAATTACCGATTGTATTTACATTTAATTAATGTGGAGGCTAACACAGAATAAAACAAAAATATTCAACATATCAAAGAGATGCAACATGGACAATTAAAAACACTAACAAACTAAATTGGATTGATAATCTGTTCCTGGTGTTGGATGAGATGGAGGGTGCTGTGAGATATTGAAAACACAAATTACTGCGTTTCAAAATCCATATTGTAAAATACACTCCAAAGCTCATACATATATAGTAGTTGGTAAATTGACTGACCCTGATGGTAACTTACAAACATAAAAGGAGGAAGTTCTTATTCATTTCCTGTTGAGTTTTACAGACTTTCACTTAAAAGACTTTTGACACTTCTGCACTCTGGGAATTTGAGTTCTTGTCTCCTAACAGCCTCGCAGCGTTCTCTATTCCCGCTGAAGATTTGGTCCAGAACAGGATACCGAAATATAAAAACTGACACTTAGTTCTTGTGCCTTCGCAGAGGCTGTTTGAACTAATTGCAAGGAAACTTCTCAGTGAGCCAAAGACAGCCATGACTAGAGGCAGTTAACTGCACTTCTTGCCACACATCAGATATGCCTGATTGACTTCACTGTTAGCACTTTGCTTTGCTGTTTTTGAAGAGAACTCTGTGCACCCTGGCAATGGCTGGAGGGGGAAATCGATGGCAAACACCTTAAGATGTAAGGCAAGCTGGGTTGAATGGGGGGGACACACCCTGACCAGCCATTAGAGAGGGACTCAGTCATGTGACTTCCCAGAGACCACTGCCTGCTGACAGCTCTGTATGAGGCCGGAGTGCAGTCACTCGTTCTAACCTCCAGCGCTGTCTCACAGCGTTGGGACCAGAGGAGACGCAGCAGTCACTATGATGTTATGGTCTTTGTTGTTATTTTCAGCAGCGGCTCCGAAGTAACGGAGCTGAGAGTCTTGTCTGTGGCCGTGTGTTTCTGTCTCTCCTTTCCTCCCCACTGTTCTCTTATTGTATTTGTGTGTGTGTGTTTATGCTAGTAGCTAGGCATGCATGCTATCCAACCGAGTGTATTGCACAAGTTGTTTTCGAGGGTTGTTGCCGGGTGACGGCAACTCTTCCGTTGTGCTTGGGTGAGTTTTGAATAGCCATAAATCAAATCAATGGCAGACAGTATCCCAGCTGCCAGACTGACTGCAGTGCAATGTATCGTCAAGTGGGCTTATACGGAGTCTCAAGGACAGTTTCACAAACGGTCGGAGGTAATCAGAGTCTCTCCGTCTCTTCCTTGCTCTCTTATCACCTCATCTCCCTGTTTCTGTTTTCTTCTATTACACTCGCTCCTCATTATTCAAGTCCAAGTAACAGCATTAAAGCTCTCATTATTGTACGAATTCTAAACATAGAAAGAACTCTATAAATATATTGGTTTTATTCATCTAAGTTAGAGGTTTTCAAAGTGAGAGGTGGGCCTCCCCAAAGGG